GTGCTGAGGGGACATAATCTCTTTATCCTATCTTTATGTAAATGTGTACTTGAATGTGCACACATCACAACTACACAACTCTGGTAGTATTACGTACATGGGTAGCAGAGCACAAACTCTTATTCATATAAATAATCTGTTTTTTTATGAAAATGTTGTGTAGATCTGTGATTGTGTGTGACTATACATGATTTGTGCATGTTTGCTCTTGAAAAGCATGTTCATGTGATTGTGCGCCGTGTTCCGCTCCTGGGTATTTTAGAACATTTCTGTACATGGGCGGGTATATTGAACAGTCTACGTGCTGTGGCATGTGTAGATCTGACAGCGAATGCGCATGTGTATGTTAGCGCGCATGTGCAAACCTAGCGGGGACAATCATCACGGCTCGTGCCCACAGTGGGCAGCCTTACCCTGGGGGTCTGTGACTGAGGCCTGCCTGACGAGATGCTGCCTGACTAACTGTGGAACCTGAATGCTTTGCTTCCTCCCCCAGCGTGTGCGTGTAAACACGCACACATTCAAACGCACAAAAAAATGAACATAAATGCCTAAACACAAAGATGCATGCAGAGAGAACGCGCAGCAGGCACAGAGCTACAAGAACATGCATGGCTGCACAGACGCACACCCTCTTATGTGCACAGCCATGCATAAAACAGCACATCCTTAAGTTTAAAATCAAATTATGACTTTTCTTATTCCTCTGTAATTAATCTATCTTGTTCTTTAATGTAGGAAAGTCATCTGGACATTATTGGGTAAAAATATGCCAGTTCTGCCACAGTGCAGTGCTTCACCAAGGAGGGACGTGTTTGTTTAAAGTGCATGTGTGTGGGTGTGAGGATGCGAAGATGAGCGACTTTTTCTGTGCCTAATGTGTCAGCATATCAGGCTCTTTGTGCACCGTTCCTCCCTACACGCCCGCGTGTTCTTGTGTGTGCGCATCAGTGCGTTGGGAAATGTGCGTGCGTTTTGTTAGAGCATGTGTGCAGGTACATCCACTTGGCATCCGTATCTGACTGAGCCACAGTGTGTGAGGCCTGACGCTAAACCGACATGACAGAAGCAAATAATGTCTGCTCCCGTTATCTTCTCTTCCCCCTCGGCCCCGCAGGAACCTTTTAAAGAGCCGAACGCTGATGAAAAGGCGCGGCACGTATAGAAAGTACACGTGCAATGTGCAAACACGCGTTTGTAAAATTATGAATCAAAGTGCACGTCAGAAGCAAAACATTGAACTTTTACCCATTTGGAAACACAAATGGGCACAAAAAGAAAAAAGCTACTGTGCACGTTTTACTGATGTTTGCACAAAAATGCATCTACAAAATACTCTGTGCATTTTATATATATTCAAACCTACTTCAAACACAAATAGAAATCTACACATATACCGTACTTTCTGCTGTACATGTCACACTGCCGTACAAGTCGCATCTATTATGCGTCACCGCTGACCACCTGGAAATGTGGGCCGGTGTTGTGCCAAAAATTGATGGGCTGCAAAATGGAGGCTGCGAGAGTGTGCACATGAGGACTTTAACAAGAATTTAACAAGATTAACAACTAAAAACAATTATTTGTTTGCTCGACACAATAGCAAAGGTGTGTCTCAGTCAAACTTTTCCTTAATAAATGCACTGGTCAGTCTCCCCACCATCACAGACATCTACACCTCCAGATGCAGGAAGAGAGCCACCTGCATCATGAAGGACCCCACTCACCCAGCACACACACTTTTTGCCCCGCTCCCCTCAGGAAGGAGGTTGAGGAGCACTAAGTGTAGAACCACTAGACTGAGGAACAGCTTCTACCCTGAAGCTGTTAGACTCATGAATCTCTAACCAGAATAATCACTGTGAAAAAAATCACATCATGCTGCTGATCTGTTTCAATGTTGCTGCTGATCTGTTTCAATGTTGCTGCTGATCTGTTTCAATGTTGATGTGTTCATGTGTGCTCATCTGCTCACACAGACTCATGTTCATGTTTGTGCTGATGTTCGACGTAATGTTTTTATGCTGTTAGGCTTAGTGTATATTTAGTTGATGTTTTTCTTAGTTCATATCTTGGATGTTATCATTGTTTTTCTTATACATTTTATTGTTGGATGTAACTGGGACCCTGTGTACATAATTTCGCTCCACCACATGTACCACATGAGGTGCGAATGACAATAAAGAATCTCGGACTCTGACTCTCTCACTTTAATGGTCAAATCAGCTGCATTTCACCTGGGCAGCGCGGAAAAATGTAGCTGATTTGACGTTTGCTCCAGGAGTTCCGGACAGAGACGAAGGTGACTGTGTATGGCAAGCCAAGTGCCTCATTAATAGCCACTTTTACCAATTAATGAGGCACTTGGCTTGCTACATTACTTGAGGGCCCTCTAGTGGCTGAAAATGGTAGTGTTCAATATTTTCCATGTCAGAATGAATTAAATTGTCAGATCTCAGACAAAAATTGAGTTGTAAATATGGGAAAAAACATAAATAAATTGCTTCGCTGTATAAGTCACAGGACACGCAAATTTATGCAAAAAGGTGCAGCTTATATGGCAAAAAGTATGGTACACTCTGTTAATTGATTGTTTCCGAAAATTATTCAGTCAGCAAAAGTGCCACTTGAAGGAAATCAAACTGAACAACCTTCTGATTCGCCTGATTAAAGAAATTTAAATTTTTATCACGATCACCAGGTGAAGAATAAGAAATTTCTAGCAATAGCTGCATGTGTGCAAAAGAGATAGACATCGTTGTGACATCATTAATACTGAAGCTGCTCCAAACACTCAGCAGCAGTTCATACAAGTTCTTTGCAACAAGATCAATAAAAACGTGTCAGAATATTGCACTCTCCACTAAAATATCCGTTCCAGTCTCACGCCTGTCGGTCTGCTTTCTTGGCAGTTCAAGGTTATTCCAAACTGTGTTAGTCACCATGACGAATGTGACAAATCTTGCACCGTGCAGAGGACTGTGGACTTGCAAAGTGCACACTTCCACCAGATCCAGCAGCACATGCTGGTATTTTAGGGGACTTCTTCACTTGTATGAACATTTTTTGAAATAAAAAAGAAGTTGCACACATATCGGAACACTTCTCATGCCTTGAATGAATTCACTCAATGAACTCTTTTTTTTTTTTTTTGGTCTTCTCTGTTAGGGGTCCTTCCTAAAAAAAAAAAAAAAAAAAAGCCGCTGAGGGCTGTCCATGCCGATGCCTGCACGTATGTGCATTGCTCTCCACCTGTCACTAACTGCCTCCATCAGCCTGCTTTCAGCCCAGCAACGAGCCAACCAACCAGTATACGCCTGTTGCTAGGGCAACCGCCATCCAGGGGATACTTCTTTTGTTTCTCATAACTATTTTTTTCCTAATTTATTTTTCCATTTCTTAATGTGTGCAGGTATTTTTTTTTTCTTCTTTTGCCATTTTCTTTTAACAAGTCTGACTTTTCCACTCCTTCCTTTCAGTTTTCTTTTTTTAAACACTCTCATCCTGTTTCTCATCCTGTTTTGGTTTCTCGATCTCTTTGGTTAGAACAAGCTGAAGAAGGTTACCTAAAAATAAGATTGCGTCTTCACGAACAAAATTATTTTAAAATAAGAGTGAATGAGTCACTTGCGTTCCTAAAATTAATTCAGAACCCACATCTCAGCGGTTCAACAAAAACCATGTTTCTCATGGATAAATGCAGACCTATAAATGATTGCAGGCGGATACAGCGCACTTGGCAACAATTTTGTTTTCTTGGTCTGCACGTCTGACATTTAAAGGTTAAAGACGATGCTCTGTCAGTCCAATCTGGTCTTTCTTGCAGCTTTACTCAAGAAACTCTTGTGTGTGCAGGCCAGCAAACATATAAGTGTGTTTATTTTTATGGTGTCATAGCCAATAAACTAAATATGCTTAGACAACTTTCCATCACAATGCTGCAACTTCTTAAAGCAATTGTCTCTCAGTGTGACATTATTTATGATTTGGTGCCCCCTAAAGACCAAATAGTACATTTCTCGTGCAAATGTCTGGGTACAGTACAAATGCTCAAGTATTTGACTCAAAATACTTGCCTTTCCTTTTCACTGAACCTTATAGTCACAGTTAGCTTGGGTTATATTGTGCTATTCTTTTAGTTATGCTGCTAACATAAGGGGCCTAGACTGGTGAAAGACAATATTTCTTCACTCAGCTTTTTTAAATTTCTCTGTGTTTGTATATGAAATTACTGCTGTCATTATCTTTGTGTTCTCTGTTTTTCTTTTATATAAGCTACGTCTGACCCAGTACTTCTGTGCCTCTTTCTTCTTGGTCCTAACCCCAACCATCAGCCAATCAAGAAAACGCAACACTGTATTTGGTCCAAAAGTTCAGGGTCTAGCAGCATTTACATTGTTATTCAATATTCAATAATAAAACAGAGCCCATTCAATATCAGCATGAGGTATTAAGGGAATAAGTGATAATTAGAAATCAGCTGCATTTTTAGTCCTGGTGACCGTCAGGAATAATTAATGCAGCAATAATAAAAGGAAGGGAAGTCTGAGTTTGTCATCATTGTACGTTCCATACAATGATGACATTACCGTATTTTTTGCCGTATAAGTCACACCTTTTTGCATACATTTGCAAGTCATGCGACTTATACATCGAAGTGACTAATATACATTTTTTCCCATATTTATAACCCAATTTTTGGATGAGATCTGATGATTTCATTCATTCTGACACAAGAAATGTTAAACATTACCATTTGCAGGTTGTTCTCTGCATTTAACCCATCACACATGAGATACACCCAGGTGGAGCAGTAAGCGGCTATGTAGGCGCCCGGGGGGGCAGTTGGGGATTAGGTGGCTTGCTCAGTGACACCACAACATGTGGGAATGCCTGGGAGTCGAACCGCAACTTTCTGGTCCCAAGTCGGCTGCCCCATCTCGGCCCCTATAGTCCGATGGTCATGAGATGATGTGTGTGTGTCTTCTATGAGTTCATGCTAGCATCATAATGAGTCACCTGTGAGGATGTTCTCAGCCACAACTTTAACCTGAACCTCCAGTGAGTGTTTGGACGTGTAGGTGATCTCTGCTGAGACGTGGACGACCTCGCCGATGAACACGGGGAACAGAAACTCTGTCTTCTCCACTCGAACCAGAGCTACCCAACAACGGTCCTAACGGGAGAAAAAAACAATCAGCAACGAAACAGGAGCAACATGAAGGAACAAGTCGTTTTCTTCAGACGTTGTAGGCAGTTTGATTGTGAATGTTCTAGATTTCAACTAGAACTGAACGTACTGCATGACTTCAGAATAAGACAAAAATGCCACATCAGATGAGATGATAATCAGTGCAAGTTAAAGTTCACCAGATGAGAAGTGAAGACATGGACGGTGATAAGAAAAGCTAAATATTTTAAATACAACTGACGTGTGGTTTGTTCGTTCTGGTTCAGGCTTAAAAACAGCTCAACACCAGCTCTGACATTTGATCACGGCTATCATAAAATAATTAATAAAAACTCATATGATTGATATTTACCCCATTCAGCGTGTTGCAGTGTCGGGTGCCGACAATCCCTCCAGCTTCCTCAATCATCTTGAGGATGATACCACCGTGAACGTTGCCCATTATGTTGGCGTCATCTGGTCGCATTACCCTGCAGCAGGGCGGAAACACGTGAGCACGTCTGTACATCTGATAGAGTCATCGCCTTTTATTATTGCCAAATATTGAATTAAAGAATTTCTGTCCTCAGGTGGTAAATTATTATTCAGACAGATCAAATTCTGACCAGCTATGTTTATTGACTCGAGGCTAAATTGTAGACAAAATCTTGGACTGTATAATTCACAAGGAGTGGTAGCCACAGGGTGCGCCCAGATTTTACTTAAAGTCAAAAAGCATTTACTTGATATCTTTTAGTCACCTGAAAGCCTGCATGCTTTTATTGTTTGCACTCTTACTTGAAGCTGTTTTTGAACTTTTACCCAAAAAAATGATTTTAAAACATCTGACAAAATGTTTGATACGACAGCTAGGCAGGTCACGATAACACATTTTGCTGGGCGATTAATTGTCTCAGACATTATTGCGATAAACGATAACATTGTTTGAAATTTAACAATAATTAGTAATTATTGTCAAATTTAAGAGGAAATGTTTAATTTGTTTTGCATGTAGTACCTTTGTTTGACCACCGGATGGCAGTATAAGACTGAGCCAAAGGATGAATAATGAGGGCGTGAGCAGCCTTGACGTGACATGGGCTCTCTCTTTGGTTCTCGCTCGAAGTGGTTTGAGCTCTTTTGCATAACATTTTCCACACAAAGCTTTTAATAAAAAAAAATCAGTAAACAAGTTCTCAGCTTCTTTTTCCAGAGAAAAACAACTTTTTAGACGAAGGCACGAGTTTCAACCGTGAATTTTGGAGCTTCGACAAGACGGAGGTTTTATCCTGAGGTCGGCCTGTTACCTTAGCTCGTAGCTTAGCGGCTTTTAACGATCCTAAAACGTGATTTTTGACGGTTCAAATGGATTTTAAAGAGAAAGGGAGGGGTCAGTGAAGAGCACCGGAGTTGAGCCTTTTGTCATCCAGTGTCTTCAGTAGAAAGAGAGAGACACGAAGAAAAGATAAAGCCGATAAATGAAAATGAGGTCAATTATTTTCATTTATCATGCGATTAATTGATTTATTGTTTAATAAATTTACTCTCGGGAAAGCTGTAGGGTCAGAAACAAGTTAATGTTTATGAACTATCATTTTTAAATCTAACTTAAACACCACCTAAAAGTACCTTTTTGTCAACTATGTCAGACTTGAAGAGGAAAAGTGTTCAGTATCAGAGGAAGTGTGGGTGCGGTATGTGTGACAGAAAACAGGATGCTCTTCATTCAGCATCTCTTGGTGCTCGCAAGAAACCATATCAGTATATAGTTAAAAGCTGCAGAGGCCTGTTTGAATTTAAAAATCATATAAGATAAATAGTGATGTTAAATTATTAGATAGGCGATTAGGGAATCGTAATTAATGAGTAACCTTGTAAAAAAAATGTACTGAAGTACCTGCTGAGCTGGATTTGGGAGCCCTGTTGAGATTCAGCCTCCCCACCTCTACAAACATCCCTGCTGACTCGCTGACTTGGACTCGGCTGCTGTTTTCCCATCGCTGCTGCTGCCGTGCTGCTCAGAGGCCCAGAGCAATGCATCTTTACACACTGCCTCACCTCCCTGGGCGTCTGATCTCTACGTTCACAACTTTTGTGATCTTGGGCTCTGACGATACTGCTGTGAGTGATGTCATCCTGCTTAACAAGCTGATCCGTCCTGCAAGTCATGACCGGCCAAACTGGATCTCTGTGCACCCAGTAGACTGAAAGTCAGGCGTCTACCTACCAGCGCTGTTATCATGCATGTGTGTCACACCAGACCGGAAGAGCAGGAAATATGTCCGATAATGTTAAACAGTGGTTTTAAGAACGGTTGATGAAAATTTGTCTTGCAAATGGGGGAACGGATGAACAAATGTTCAAAGATCAAAAAAAGAAACGTGCTTCTTTCTTTCATTGTAAAAATTAGATGACATTAAATTTATTTTTGTCTTTATTTTAACACTTTTGCACTTGTGTGCACCTCGTGGCAAAGGTTTGGGAAGCTGGCTAAGCTCTTACTTAATAACAGCCCCTTGGTGTACTTCAAATGCAGTTTTAAAATGCAGTTTAAGACTAACCTAGCTTTTATTTGGATCTTTTTTTTTAATCTATTTTTCTTTCAAAGGGTCTGCAGAATAATAAAATTGTTTTCTTTGTTCTAGATAAACACTTTTGCTAATGTATTGGGCAAAATCTCAAACATACTTGTGAATCTGGAGCTGTGTTTTGAAGGATGAAACTGTAGAAGTATTTCTTTACTTCTATTAAGAAAACATGTTTCTTTCCCATTGTTACGGTGTTTAACTCGATTTATTTTACTCTTGACTTTAAAATGTTCCCTGTGCCACTAACTGTACCCCATTTAATTCACTCTCACGTTTTAGAGCCAGAAAAGTCCAAAAGTCTTCTATTCAAACCAAACACAGTGTTTGCCTTCCTGAGCCTGGTTCTAATGGGGTTTTCTTTATGTTTAAGTTAAAAACCATTTTTTAAAGGAATGCACCCTTTACCTTTAATACCAGAGATTTAAACGGACTATCTTGTGTTGAGAAATGAGGGAGTTACAGCGATCTTAATCTCATCCATTACCACGAAATCTGTTAGAGCTCAAAGTAAGTGTTGTAACTGACTCTCAGTAGTTCACATCAAACTTTCGCTCAATAATTATGAATCTGAGTAATTGATAATGAGCTTTGCCTTCCCACCATCACCTGCAGTGTGCAGACTCAAAATGAGAGATCGAGTCAGTCAAGATCTGATGCAATCTTTTGAATTCCTGAGAATACTAGTTCTTTTTTCTAGTAATGTGTTTTATGTTATTTTATTTAAACAAATACATAAAATATTAATGTAGACTTGTTGGGTTTGAAGATTTGTAAAATAGGTACAAGTTGTTGATGAGTTTGTGCCTTATTTGTTTGTTGTTTTTACAAATGTAATTCTGTATCCATATACGTACATGGAACACTATAACTAAGTGGCTGGAATAATATACAGGAACATCTATGCCAAGTGTGGACTGGAGGCCCCACAGTCAAAGTGGAAGACGCCACCAAGGGTTGTGAAGAATGGAAGGGCTAAGATCCGGGACTTCCAGATCAAGACAGGCACACGTAACCAACTGGTCATTGTGGTGGTCGACAAGCAAGAAAAGAATGCAGTGGTGATGGCCGTAGAAATCCCAGAAGTGACTGTAACATCAGTAAGAAGACTCAAAGATGTCTGTCCAGACGAGTGCAGTCCTATAAGGAACAGCTAAGATACTGCACACACCCCTCAATCTCCCAATTCAGTTCAGTTTATTTATACAGCACCAAGTCACAACAGAAGTCGTCTCAGAGCACAGAACAGAAAGAAGTGAACAAAAACAGAAGAGAGAGAGAGACAGACAGATCTAACTACCCTAACTTCACCAGTAACCACACCACTGTGGATGAGTCCTTTAGCTCCCCCTACAGGCGAGCAGCAGTATCTACAATAGAGATGGAATAAATGGCTCTTTGGAGGGAACCGATCTTTATGATCCGTTTCATAGAGATGTTCAAAAAAAAGAGTCGTTCAATTTTGAACGGTGACGCCATCACGTACAGCGTATATCCGTCACGTGGGTTGTTGAGCGAAGCCTCCCTCTCTACACACACACACCGTCCTAAGCTGCTGCACACGCTACCCCTTTGTTCATTCTTCTGTCTCAGTGAAAAAGCGAATGGTTGAGCAGGAAAACATCACGATATTACGAGGAGAAGACTAAAATTAGGAACGGCTCTTTACTGTCTGCAACTCGGTTCTTATCGTTCGTTGTAAAGAACCGTTCAAATGATCCGGATCGTTCACGAACGTCACATCGCTAAGCTACAAGCAAACTTGCAAGCTTGTTCTGAGAACAGCACTTTAGTTTCTGCTGGGACGTCAGATGCATCAATGTTAATGCACGGGTGTCTGTGATATTCCTCTGGATAATATTTAGGAAAAAGTAATTAAGAAAGAGAGAACATGCGTTCAACTCCAGTCCAGACTAGCAGCTAATCTACGTCCTGCCTGTGAAGCTTTTAAAATCATTTCTACAGGGACCGTGTTGTCCTTGGCACTTCTCAACCGCGCTGAGCTCCAACAATAACAGCTGAGGAGAGACCCCAACTAGCTAAAATACCTAAAACATCCGGTCTCTTTCATCTTGAACTAAAACAGAACAAATGGCACCGTCTGAACACAGAGAAGACATGATGTGCATTATGTGTTTGTTATGAACGCGGCCTGAAGCGGCGGATTATCGGCGTTATCGCCCCGTGAGCAAACAATAGCTGCCATCACTTAAACATTAGCATGACTAACACTAGCATGTGTGCACCTCAGCTGCACATTTCCTGAGTCCTAAATGTACCTGCACAGTTGGAGGGAGGATGAAGCTGCTCCTGGCATGATGTTTCAAAGAGATTCCTGATGTGAAGTGAACGGACTTCCTCACCGGCGTCCGCAGCCTGCTGTGGACACCGTCTGATCAAATGGAGTAAAGGAGATAGTTGATATGAATGCACAACTGTTCTCTCAAAGGGGCTCAATTAAGGTGACCATTACTGAAACGGGGGGAAAAAACTCATTACTTTGTAATTTGGCTTTTTAAAGAGGTGAATTAAAACATGCTCGAAAGACCTACATAAACCTCAACAATACTTTAATTCACCTGTAGGGGGCAGCAGAGACCACTTTAATGTTATTTACTCTGGCGCAGCGCTTCGTTGTGATCATTGGGGGCGCTGTTGAGCTGAATATCCAACATCTAAAGTCTTTTTACTTGAGTCTTTTGTGTTGTTTGTGGCACCAAATGTTAATTCGAGTCAGAAAAGTTTAGTTTTTGCACGTATTTATATTTGAAATACTATTTTATTATCTTCCAGTCATAATCTTATATCTGCTTATAGCAGATTATGATGCTTTTAAAGAGTTTGCTTTATACTTGCAACAAAACGTCATTTTATCTTGTTGTCTTTCCATCCAACCTTTGTTTATACAGTGTAGTCTCATTGAGTCACGAGGATTAATTTACAAGAGAGGCATTTTAAAGCCTTGCAGTAAACTAAAGTTTATTATATTCTGACTTACTAAGTGTGAACAAAAAGACACAACTCAAGATGTCACCACAACGTTGCAGCTTTATTTACATCATATACAACATTTGCTGAAAATAGCAAACAAATGAAGCACATCCCCAAAGAGATACTCTCTGACATATTATGTTTACACTGTTCAATCTGCACAGACTTGGACACAAGTCTGGTGTGCGGATTCATACACACAATGACCCTTTGGGTCTTACAGGGCTGTTTCAATAGCCCCCCATCATTTAGTCCCGAGGAACTAAATGTTAAATAAATGACGTGAACATACATGCGGATTTAAGAAAAATACGACCGTCTAATCCAATTTATACAGGACAAAAGACTCGCGCGTAAAACATAAGTATATAATACTTAATAATAGTAATATATTCTGAATAAAGATGCATTTTTACAGATTATTCTATCTATTTACCACAACCCCCTTTTTATGAAACGTGTTACAGTGTTTTAACAGCTGCAGCGGTCTACCAGGGTCTCCACACAGAGCTGCGCGGCTCCGGGCCTGACTGCACCCTGCAGGGTGCTGCTGCTGCTCCGCTGCGGGACTGCTGCTCCCCCAGGCTGGATCTGAAGCTGGACTTCAGGTTCAGGAGTTTTTGGTGCATCTGAGGGAAGCACCTGGAGCTCTGGGCGCGGCAGTTCAGGCAGCTCGGAGTGGAGTGAGCTTTGTGGATGAAGTCGGTGACTCGCTGGCACGCGTCTGGATCCAAGTTCGTTTTGGGGAGCTGAGCGGAGACGCGCTGGAGACAGGCTTTGTAACCTTCTCTGTAACTGTTTGCTGAGTCTGGAAAAAAAAAGGTTCTTAGTTTAGTTTCTGGAAATAGATTCAGCTGCTAAGTAATAATAGAGAAGGGTAAAAAAAAAAACTCACTTTTGGTGTTGACAGGTGGGATGTCGCTGAGGAAGCGCACAGTCATCTCGAGGATGTCAGCTTTCTCCAGTTTGGAGTAGCGAAATTTCTACAGAGAAAACGTTACAGCAGATGTTAAACACGTGGACTTAAACACCAATTTGACTTTACTGGACAATAATCTGTAAATGGTGTTGAGAATGTGCAATAAAGTAACTTACATCTCTGCCTGTGAGGGGCAGGATGAGGCTTTTCAACAGGTTCAAGCTGTCATTGATACGCGCACGCCTTTTTTTTTCCATCAGTGGCTTCATTGTCTGAAAAGAGCACAAATCGTTTAGTTTGCATTCACAACATTATCAGAGAGAGTATTTTTTTTAATTGCCCAAGTCCAGTCCGACTTACCTTTCTCAACTCAATAGCCTCTTTTCTTTTGGCAACAGCAAACCTTGGAGGGAAAGATGGGAGAGCTTCAAAAGTCCGATTTGGAGACATTTTCTGTGTCGTATTTGTGCCACAGTAGTGTTCCAATCCGAAGTCGTAGGAGATGTGTCTGTAACCGTCAAGAGGTGCGGTATATATCCAAGTCCGTGGCGTCGGTTTCCATGCGTCACGGCTACGCCCCCAAGCCAACACAAAACGATTTGAACTGGCTTCGTATTCGACATAAACAACACAAAAGCATCATATTTAATAAGATAACCATCTGTCCTCAGCTTTAAACTGTGCCGAGCTGCAATGCGTGTCTGCGTTATAGAGTAAACCAAACAAAAACAGCGTCAAAAAGCTGGAGATGTCTGTGCGTAAAGACGCGTAAAGGTTCAGAGCACGCACTACCAAGTCATTTTGAACTCATATTTCAAAATCCTACATCATACTAAACAAAAAACAACTTTGACAATTCTTTTCGACATGAGTTGTATAGATTATTTTGTGTTTTAGTGAAAACAACACACCCTTTCATTGGTGCGTAATGCTGCGCTCCAGCGTGAATGGAAACAAACCTTTGGCTTATACTACTGCTTTATTTGTGGCCTAAATAAAATGAAATAAAAATAATTTCAAGTTAAACATATTTTGTAAAAACAGGTTTTTCAATAAACACTCTCGTTTTGAATAATCGGTAATAGGACTGGTTCTGTTCCAAGATCCGTTATTCTGCAATTTTCGATGCAAGTAATGCGTTCAAGTCTTATCTAAATATATAATTTATATCATAGTGCATATGATGAATAAATATCAAGAATATGACAACAGGACGCAGTATAGGCTGTGCGTAACTGGCATATGGGTCTGTCTGGCATCAACTCTTACACCAATCACACACCCAAGCCACGCTTCTTTCAAATAACACAAACTCTTTGATTCTGAACACAATAGTTTTGCATATCCATCTGACGTTTTTATGCAGTTTCTGCCTGGGGGGAGTCGCTACCTGTAGGGTGTTTGACTGATGCTGTCGCTTTGTGCAGTGAGGTGGGGGCTGGAGGGTGAAGAGGTGGACTCAAGCACAAAAGACACTGCAAAATATATTTAAAAAACACGTATTTTGGATTTATTTAGAGCTCAGTATCTTTTGAATGATTACGCAGGTCTATATAGTTTTTAATGGTTAAACTGAATTTTGTCCAGCTGTTGCGCAAAGGTCATCAATCCCAAAATAATTTGGCCTCGTCTCGAGAGCGCGTACAAAACAGGAAACAAAACGGATCTAAATGACTGTGCGTTTTCAACACGTTTACATTTATTTGGTGAGAGTTTCTTTTTTTATTTTTGAACCTGCAAGAATACAGTTCTCATGGTGTCAGGGGTCTCCGTTCAACACACCGAGGAAGCTGGAAAAAACCAGGCTTGCGTGTTTTTGTAATAAGTTTTAACACATTACTTCAAAAGACGTTCAATCCAAAGAACACATCACTTCGAGCTGTTTCTGCGGGGCACAGAAAATACATCTTCCACTCAGAATCTGCGTTCCTCTTTAACTTAATGCAAAAGCAAACATCTTGAAAATCACTGGAATTATCAGCCAGAGTCTTAGCTTTAAATATCTGTTCTTAATTCTCTGTTGAAGGTAAAACTGTTCGTTCTTTTTATTAATTGTTTTAGGGATCTGTTTTATGTCATGCATTCACGTTAAAAAAAAAAGTATGGATAAGAAGTTCACCTTGGACAATTATGGCGCAAAAGCTGCTCGGAAGGTCTGCAAATGTCACCAAAAGACCACAAATGTTTTATTTTGAATAAAAACAGGAGGGACATGACAACCCATCAAATGCCTCTGCACTCAGGGGGACCACGCGCGCAGCACGCGCCACGGGGACCAGATGGCTGTCTGTTACAAAGATCCCAACCCCACACTCCCCCTGTGACCAACCCTCCCACCTTACCCCTCCCCCACTCTCATCCTTGCGCGCACCCACCATCACATGATGGATTTATGGGTCCTTATTTTTTTTCTATGAACTTTGAAAGCAGGACACCTGATCTCCACGCGGTTTGGGCGTCCCGTCTGCATGGGTCCGCGTGGAACCAATTGAAACAAAAGCATCCTGAACCCCCTCCCAGGAACTCCAAGTTCCAATTGTCTCTTTCAGCTTTTTGGATGGTTTTATAGCGTCCAAGCGATCGTGAAATGCTTGTTCATTAATTCTACATGCAAATGCGTGAACCAGGTCTGTGCCAAAGACGTTTTCACACCGAGATCATGCAGTTTTAGCGTGATTTGATGATTAAAACAACCAAAACTGGACAATATAAGTGCAAAGATAAAGTAAAAGGATTAAATAATTACATTTTAAACCCCTTGTCACGAGCACAGTGAAGGTTGTCCAGCCTGGGAGCAATCCTGAAACTACAAAATTAACCATAAATTCATCGCATTCGGCTTGTTCAAAGTTTATTTACTCTTTCTATCCACTTTGTTTTAGTCTTTTTCCAGAGGAAAGATTATTAATCGTTACTGCAAGGTTTAAATAAAGTTATAACATTTAAATATAAATACAGTATTGCATATATATAACTTTTAAGTTTAGATGATTTAACATCTGAAATGCGCACATAGTCTATATATTTGAGATGCATTTTAATATTAAATGTAAAAAATAAAAAAACCTGAACACATGATGATGCGAATGACAATAAAGTCACCTTGAAACAAACAAAAAAACAAAAACCTGTCGGCTAAAGGTGTTGAAACACTTTGCGCACGTGAACAGCTTTAAAAGGTTATTTTTCTAAGTATTAATTATGAGGAAACAGTTTGATGTGTTGGTCAGCAGTGAGTGAATGTTGCATCTCCCTGAAATTCAGAGGCACACTTGCTGCACGCGCCCCTCACTGCCCGCTGGGATATAGGGGGGATGGTGACATGGTTGGGGGGGGGGGGGGACTTCTCCGTTTTCCTTCTACGGTTAGAGTCCTCTTTTGTCTTTTCAAGCAAATTCGGCGTCTGTAACCCATCTGTGCATGCAGGATAACAGGGAGCCTTTGTCTGGCTCATGGGCGACCAACAAGTGACTTTTACCTCAGGCTGATAGTGAGATCTCAACCCCACAACGTGCAGCTACAGTGTTTCAGCTATAATGTGTTCCCCACAGAAAACAGCGTGGCAAACATTTTCCCAAAGCCTGGAGTGTTTGAATGCTGAGTCTTTATGACACTCCACCAGATGGATGCCCTGATATTTATACTTGACTGTTTTCTTGCTCAGTTTTTTTTTTCAGTGTGCCAACAAAAATCACTCTTATGTTGTCACCTGACTGTCTTCTCAGGCATTTTAGGGTCCATTTCAGCCAGTCTTGTTGACCTACATTTGTGATGTGACTCAAGCTTCCACCTTTCTTCTGTGGATTCATCCAAGTGCTTCGTTTTCATAAAGAGCACCACATTCTAGAATTGAGCATCATCTGGAAAACTGCTTGTGTAAACATGTTTTAAACTGTAACATTTTTGTGGGATTCCTAGGTTTCCAGCCACAATCACTTTCTCTGCAGCTACTAATCATCTCAATCATCCACCACTCCACACCTGCAGCCAATTTAGAAGACTGCACCGCTGAGTATTTAAACTTCTGCCAGACATTTATTATGAAACCTCGTAATGGACAGCTGGTAAAGCTTACTCCTTGAGAAACTTTGACCAACCTTGAGATTATCTTGTGTCTTTAAGTCCTGCTTCTCCGTGTGTTGTGAGACCTTCTCACTCTTTGTGACCTCACCCTGTCATCATCTTGTTCCTGCAATCGCCAAACATCAGACTGGATCAAAAGCTACTGAGCACCTTCAACCTGTTCTCCTCTCAGATGATACTTTCATCTTCGGGATCACATTCCATCTTCTGGTAACCTAGGACCTTGTTTCCTCCCTCCTCTCCAATTATTATTTTTTCCCCTTCGGCTGCTCCCTTCTTCAAGGATCACTGCAGTAAACTGAGTTGCATGAAGACTTGGCAATTGTTTTTACGCCTCATGCCCTTCCTGACTCAACCACAGAACACTGAGCTACCACAGCTCTCTGTGTGGAGCAAAGAGCTGCTATCTAGGGTGCCCAGGGGAGCAGATGGTGGGGGTTAAGGGCCTTGCTCAAGGGCCCAGAGTGGTGCAAATGAGGGTGGACACAGGTGTGGGTGCTTCATCACCAATCCCACCCACATTTTGATGTCAGTACCGGGAGATGAACCAGCAGTCTTCCAGTCACAAGCTCACCTTCTCTAACCTCTTTGTTCACGCCCTCCTCTCCTGGAAAACAACAAATAGTAAAAGATTATACTTCCATTCTTCAAGAATTCAGAAAATCAACCGTACTCACCTTGTCCCTTTTCCCCTTACAGCCCAAAACATTTTTCTACACTTGTAAATTAATCGATCTGTTGCTATCTTGGTCTAATATCTTCAACATCAGTTCAGAATATCCTACGTATGATTTCATACTTTGCAACGAGTACATTTAAAATAAGTATATTGTAAATTATGCTTTTGCAGCACGGTATATCAGTGGTTAAAGATGCCGCCTCTCAGAGAGAAGGTCGCAGGCCTGCGAGCTTTCTGTGTGGAGTTTGCATGTTCTCCCTGTGGGTTTTCTCCAGGTTCTCCCACAAATCAAAAACATGTTAGGTTAATTGATAACTCTAAATTGTTGAGTGAGAGATGTGAATGGTTGTCTCATTTTGTCTATACGTGTCCCTGTGATGGATTTGCAACTTGTCCAGGGTGTACCATGCCTCTCGCACAGTGACTGCTGGAGATGAGCACCAGCTCCTCACTACATGGAAAGGAAAAAGCAGGTGAAGAAAATAGATGGATGGCTGGTTAAATGTTTTGTTTAGTAAATTGTGTGACCAAACAATGATGTACACATCTACTGTATATCAATTTATATAAATATGTTGCATGAGAGCTCCTGACTGGTTACACTCAACACAGTTTGATTTGTAACAAGGGGTTTCAAAGTGTATGAAGAATTTTCAGTGAAGGTGACAAAATGTAAAAATTGACAATG